GGAGGATTTTGGCTATATATAGAATATAATGACTTCAGAACTGGCAATTGCAATTAAAACTGTAGCAGTTCAATCAAACAGAGACAGAAATACTGTGATTACTCTAAGACATAAGAACTCAGCAAAGATGGCTCAAGGCAGATAAAGAAAGATCAGTAACTTAATTTGTCACCAATGTCTCAATCCATTAGGTGACTACTGTTTTCTCATTGAAATCCCTCCTTAGGGCTTTTGAAATTCTATGAAAAATCTTACTCCCCCATTAAAGTGATAGAAACAAAACAAGTAAACAGACAAACAACAAAATCACCCTGTTGCTGCTCCAACTGGCAGCTCTTAAGTCATTTCTACTACTTCCTCTCTACTTAGGCAGAAGGTACTTGAAACACTTTCAGTGTCAGCTCTGTATCTTCTGAGGGGAACCACACAGATAATATTCTGGCAGCAGATGGGAAGAATCATGGATTCCTTTCATCTCAACCCTTTACCAAGTTGTCCTTTATAGAAGCCTTCGTGGAACTCGAGTATTCTAACCTCACAGTCGTTGTCTTTAATTAACTGACTGATGTCATGTGAAGAAATAGTGTTTCTACATAAATAACATTAAAAAGTGGGACGCCAAGCTGTTTGGTTGCAATCATTTCTAAATCAGCATCATAGCTTCTCAGTAAATAGCTGTGATGGAAAGGACAGGAGAGAAGAGGAAAGGTAGAAAACCTCAGAAAAGTGTAAGGTCTACGATGTTTTGGGTTTTAGTAACTAGTCTCAGAAATTGAAGGAAGCTTTTTGTTTGTTTGTTTGTACTTGGTCATTCACTCATAAGGAAAACCATTCCTTTATAGATATCTTCAGTCAGAAAAAACAAAAAAACAAAACCCTTCCTGCAAAGGACGCCATGCACCGTGCAGACAGCTCTCTCTTTCCAAAATGGTGCCCTGTATCTGATTTCTGGAAAAGCTAAAAGTGACTCATAACAGTACAGTGTTTTCCTGGTGATTGTACACCTGAGGATAATGAAGTTCTGGCTGTTTGTTTGTTTCTGCACATGAACTACCATATCTTAATGGGACAATTATCTATTCCCTTAATTTCCCTTTTTTAAATTATGATTGTAGCACCTGTTTCTCTATGTACAAAAGAAAATGAAAAATTCAGTCTATAATCCAGATGTTTTCAGTCATTTTATAGATAAGTTGCTGGGAAGATAAAACATCTGGGTAAATGTAACAATTTGTCTTTTATCCAGATTTATGAACCAAATGGATACAAGCCCCCGTCTAAATTTAGCAAGATGAATTTTCTTTATGAAAGCACTTAATGTTTGCACTATGACAACCCAAAATAAGCACTTAATATTTTAGTCATGTTGAACGGTGGTCTTTATTGAAATGCTCCTACAAGGAGTTGATCGGTTCTCAAATTTTCCACAGATTACTTCTCAATTTAGAATCTTAGGTATTTACATATCAGATATTAAAGAGTGTTGCTATTAAGGGGCCAAAAGAGAATGTTAGTCACTAGATATCTGCAGTCACTAATACAGATTTCACTTATGTAACGAAAACAACACGGTAATGAAATGGATTGACTGCATGCACAGTACCTTCTTATAACTCAAGTCACAGGAATTTATCAATTTTTATTCATAGTTTAGTTATTTAACATATTCCTAATTAATTCCAAATCATACATCACCATTTTGAAACAGCTCATTTGTGCACATATATTAATGTAATCAGAGAGCAAATTCATAAATTATACATTGTAGGGAAGGCTCATAAAAGTGTACAGTTATATAAAAAAAATCAATTTCTAAGTCAATAAAAAGAAAAGAGATCTTGTTAGCAGGAAGGGAAGAATGAAGGGGGGGAAATCGGAGGGGGAGACGAACCAGGAGAGACTATGGACTCTGAGAAACAAACTGAGGGTTCTAGAGGGGAGGGCGGTGGGGGGATGGGTTAGCCTGGTGATGGGTATTAAAGAGGGCATGTACCGCATGGAGCACTGGGTGTTATACGCAAACAATGAATCATGGAACACTACATCAAAAACTAATGATGTAATGTATGGTGATTAACATAACATAATAAAAAAAAAAAAGAAAGAAATGTACCTAGACTGAATCGAGATGTACTGTAAGTGCAAATTACACCAGATTTTGAAGACTTAGTACAATAATAAAGAATATAAAACAGCTTATTAATATTGTTTAATGTTGATTACATGTTGAAATGATCATGATGCTTATATTTGGCTATAAGTCAAATAAAATATATTATCTAAATAAAAAAAAAAGAGATCTTGTAGAAAACCTGACATTTGAAATGAAAAGTATTCCTTTGGCCAACATTTAACATTCCTTCAAATGTTATCAGGTTTTTACTAGCATACATCTTGTGGAAATGCACCCCCATCCATTTGATATGTAAAACATTAGGAAATTCATGACCGTGCCAGAAATATTGAACTTCCTTTTCTTTTTCCTAAGAGTTAATAATAACCCAAAAAGTACCTGCCTTTGCCTCCCCCCACCCCCGGGCGATTCAACATTAATGTGATATCACCTTAAGAAAGGTGAACGGCTGCAAATACTAAACTTCAGTATCACTTTGCAGTTACCACAACCTACATCTTTGAAAATAACGATTTCCTCTAGACAACCGAATAAAAATTCTAACTAGATTTGTTATTAGCTGACATCTGCATCACCTAGGATGAATTTCTTTTATAAAGTATAAAAAGATCTCTCTAGCCGGCTACTGCCTACCTCTCTAACGTGTAGGTATTTGTGTACATTAATTGGACACAATATCAAATTCTATAAAATCAGATGGGAGGGGGTAGAAAGAATCCGTTGTGACTAGTAGAAATCTACTGTCTTCCGCAGTATTGAGCAGCCATTCAAACCTGATTAAAGTGACAGCACCCTGGCATAATGTGGCTATTAATTTGCTCTGAACAATACGTTAAAGAAAAACTGCAAATTCACATGAAACTCAGTACCCTCCAGGGACCTCAGATGCTTGTTTCTCAGGTGTCAGTAAGCTTTTTTGTAAGCCTGGATGCACAAACTACATACATCTGCACAGGCCATTATGTACAACAATATTAAGAAAAAGGAAGAGAATCATGATTTTATTTATTAATGTGCTGGTTTCCCTTCAGTAGGCGGTGGCATAGTGACCTTTAATGGGGGAAAAACAAAACTCTTCTGCAAACACTTGTATAAGGTCACTGTGTGGGAAACAACCCCTTGCTTTGACCAGGAAAGGAAAACCATCTTAAAAGTGACAAGATATTTTTCTCTCCCTGCCTAAGAGAATAACTGTTAGAACTTTCCTGGTGAATAGAGGATGCAGCAATTCTATAAATACTTTTTTTTTCAGAGGCAATAATTCTTCACTTGTTTTTATGTATGTCTACATATGGCACTGCTCTTTCTCTGAATTCTGTCTTTTTTATTTCCTAAATAGTTACAAATCTGAATTTAGATAAGAAATTTCTCCCCTGGCAAATAAAACTAGAGAGAATAGAAACTCTTTCTGATTTGCCTTTTATTTAAAGGAAACTGTATTCCACTCTGATCACTCATTTTATATTTTATGTTACAATGGGTATGGAAAACATGTTTTTCCAAAGAACAATATGCAAAAAGATAATGTCAAAGAATTTTAAAATACCAAACACTGAACTTTAGTTTTAGTCACTCACTTGATCTTCTAAGACTTTAATTATTTTTAAAATCAGGCTTATTTTTTGCAAAGAAACTTTATTATTTTTATTCAAATTTGATACTCTGCCCCAGTTACTCAGAAGATGAAAATTCTGAAAACATTAAGAGGGTTAATCTAATTTGTTGAGCCAAGTGGAATTGAACTAAAATATGTAAGGAGGAAAGCCACAAGGTTCTCATAGCTCTCAGTTAGTTTTAGTGGGTCAAATGGAAAACCGAACAAAATCTCTACACTTCGTGATGGGGAAAACAGGTTCCAGATAATCTACTGACTTTCACAAATGTACACAACTGAGCCTCAAAAGAAGCAGCAGAGAGGTTTGTTTGTTTTTTTTTAATTTGTACCAAATTTTATGTTATATCCACTTAATATGAGAATTGTTTCCCAAGGATCACTTAGTGGGAGGAAAATAGAATAAATAAACAAAATAAGTAAATAAATAAGTTATGTATATAATGATAAATGTTTTGGAAAAAGATACACTTCTTTGTCTTCCATGCTAGGTAGAAGAGATGTGATTTTATGGGACACAAGAAGGGAGCTAGAGAACGACAGAAAATCTTAGTAGAGAAAGAGTGCTTTAAAAAAAGTACTCTGGGACCAGTGTGCACGGTACAGGAGAGCAGAGGGAACACAGGTGGCTGATAAGGAGAATTTAAATCGGGGCAGATAACAATGCAGCTGCCACAGCTCAAAGGCAGTGGGAGTACTGAGGTGGTACGAATCCAACAGATACTTCCAAGGAATATCTGAGATTTAGTGCCTTACTGGATATACGCAAAGCAAAGAGGAGGAGAAGCAGAAGAGGTCTTCAGCACTTTACGCTAGGGACCGAGAGGGTGGTGTCATCAATGTCATTTGCAGAGACATTTTTAACAAAAGGAATACCAGGGGCACCTGGGTGGCTTAGTTGGTTAAGCGTCTGCCTTTGGCTTGGGCCATGATCGCAGAGGTCCTGGGATCCAGTCCCCCGTCAGGCTCCCTGCTGAGTGGGGAGTCTGCTTCTCCCTCTGCCTCTCCCTCCCCCGCTCATGCTCTCTCTCTCTCTCTCTCTCTCTCTCTCTCTCTAATAAATAAATAAATAAATAAATAAGTCTTGGGGGTGTGGGGGGAAAGGAATACCAAAGAACAGCTTATTTCTACTGAAACCAGAATGACCTAAGTCCTGAGTTTGTGCCTGGTGGTCATAGTTCAGAATTTCCTCCAGTCCTTGCAGTGTTTTTGAACAGTTTCGTAATATTTATGTACATTCTTGGAAATGCTCACCAGTTTGCCACCAGTGGTCTAAGACAGGTACTCTGAAGACCTTTTTGGACCATTCCAGGGTCTCCACATCACATCGTTCTCCAGCCACAAATAATGTTTTGAACCTGAATATAAGAGGGAGAGTGAATTCAAATTATTCCTTGAAAATAAATATAAATAATGTTATCCTCATTCTGTTAAACATTCTAGAATCTGACCACATTAATTGTCAAAGGAAAACAGCTATATTATCACAATATCATACTACAGAATGGTGAGAAGCGTTATTTGTGTTGACCCAAAGGTAACCAAATGTACATCACAGCATTGAAGAGAGGTGCCTCAAAAGAATTCACAGCTACCGCTTCTGAGTTTTGAGAAGAGCAACTGAGTTGATCTTTGTAATATATCTGTCATATTCATCTAATGATCAAAGATGAAAAACTTTTTCCTCCGTGACATCATCTCTGCTAATTTTAGCTCCACATTTGATTGCTATATTCTACTTAAGTCTATATACAAAAATATACCCTTGCGTATCAGCTAAAGCAACAAATAAGCTCATAAATATGATGTTCTTGTTCATTTTGGTGAATTTCTTTGGTAAAGATTACTCTGATTTCAAGGACATATTTACCCAAGTCCAAGGACATACAGAGGAAAAATAGGTTATTTAAAAGTAAATACCACTGCGGCCTTCTAGATCAAAAGACTCTTATCAAAAGGAATATAAGGTTACTAAGAGATGAATATTTGACATGGAGCACCATGCCATAGAACAGAAAGGATGAAACAGACAAATGGAATTGGGTTGACACTATTGGTGGTTCATTGAGAGAATGATTGTTTCCTTCCATTCCCAATGTCTCCATGGTCTATCTGTCAAAAAAGGAATGCATGTTTGAAGAGTTAATTCATTGCCATCAAAGTAAAAAACAAATAAATAAAAACCTGCCTATTTATCCTAAACAATGTAATATAGCCACAGAAGATTTCTTACCATTCTCTTATCATCTCATGAAAATTCATGGAGATTCAGACATTCCTACCCTTATGCTTCAACAGTGTACATTTCCATCCTCTGCTATAAACATACATCTCATTCTATACTTATTTGTTTCTTGTCCATTTTCCACAGTGGACCATGAGCTCCTTAAGAGCATTCATCTTCATGACCCGAACACCAATAAAAATATCTGGGATTTTTAGATACTTATTTCTAGAAGCTTAGAAAGATGAAGTACACAGGTGGGGAGTTGGCAAAACTTATGTCAGCTTGACTCATTCTTCTAAGTAAAGGAGGAAGCATGTTGTTTTGTTAGAGTGTGGAAATAAACAATGGAACAGTGACTTGAAGAGAGAAAACTTCTATTTTAGGAAATTTTTAATGAATAACATAAAAGTGAAAGAATTGAAAAGCAGCCACTTGGCTTTCATAGACTCAATTAATAGCCTAGGAGGCTGAGTAGAGATAACACAAACTGGGTGTAGTACAAAAATAAGGAATGGCAAATCATGCTAAAACTTCTGTCTGGGGAATCTAGAGTAGGCAGGAGAAATCGGGAAGCGAAGTAGGAATGACCATGATGGAGGAAAATACCAGGAAAAATAATGTAAAGGCAGAGAAATATAATTTCAAATTTCAGATCAGAAAAGAACCCTTTACTAGTCTTTGTTAAGAAATGATTTAAAAAATGTGGCTCAATCATTTTGGTGAGTCACCTCTCAAAGCATGCAAGGCTTCTAGGGTAATATTTAAATCTTTAAGAGCACTGAAGGGAAACAGAGAAAAAGCATGAAAATGGGAAAACCAAAAGAGAATAATAAGGGAGACTAGAAAAGAATACATCAGATTTCTTTTAACAAAAATATATGTATATTTGCAATTTGAGATAAAATTTCGGTAATCAAATGTGTATTCATTTATAACTTGCTTCAGATTAAAATGGGGGTGCCTGGGTGGCTCAGCCAGTTAAGTGTCCAAATCTTGATTTTGGCTCAGGTCATGATCTCAGGGTCACTGGATCAAGCCCCTTGGCTTAGCACAGAGTCTGCTTGGGACTCTTTCCTTCTCCCTCTGCCCCTCCCCCCATCACGGACTTACTCTCTCTCTCTCTCTCTCTCTCAAATAAATAAATAAATCTTTTTAAAAAATTAAAATTAAGGGACGCCTGGGTGGCTCAGTTGTTGGACATCTGCCTTCGGCTCAGGTCATGATCCCAGGGTCCTGGGATCGAGCCCCGCATCGGGCTCCCTGCCCGGCGGGAAGCCTGCTTCTCCCTCTCCCATTCCCCCCTGCTTGTGTTCCTGCTCTTGCTATCACTCTCTCTCTCTGTCAAATAGGTAAATAGATAAAATCTTTAAGAAAATTAAAATTAAAAAAGATTAAAATGTGGTTACCAAATATGACTTCATCTGACAAAACCAATATATCACAATGAAACAAATATTAATACATTAAATTATTAAAACTGGGTTAAAACATAAAGCTTAGTGTAAAATTTTAAAGTTTAAAATGAGGTCAATACATCTGTGATTTTAGATGCTATGTAAAAACAAGACAAAAAATTTTTTTTAAAAATTTATCCATTTATTTGGAAGTGAGAGAGAGAGATCACAAGCAGGGGGTAAGGGCAAAGGAAGAAGCAGACTCCCTGCTGAGCAGAGAGCCCAAGGTGGGGCTCGATCCCAGGACCCTGAGATCATGACCTGAGCCGAAGGCAGACGCTTAACCGACTGAGCCACCCAGGCACCCCAACAAAACAGAATTTTAAATATAAAAAGCCATATTATTGATAATCTTATGGCTGAAAAATGTTAATTTATTTTAATTATATCTTCTTTAAACAGTTAGATTCCTAATACATTAGAAAACTTCGGTGATTACGAACATTATAGAAGTAAATAATTTGTATTAAAATTTATAAATAGGTTTGGGTGATTCCAACAGCATAGGCAAAGAACAAGGAAGTTTTATAGATATCAGAGATCACATTTCCATCGTCTATCAAACCACAGATTATTCCAAAGAACTCTAGATGGTCCAGGTGGTCATGTGTTTAGTTTACATATGAAACTGCAGATCTGCAGTTATATATATTTTTGAAAACATGGTGTAAAATATTGTCAACTAAAAATATTAGCACACAACACAAAATAATTTTTGGCTAATCTAAGAACAATAAATACCTTGATATTACCAGCAGTTTTGCAAGTTTTAATTAATTTTTTGGCTTCTTTTCCCAGTCAAGTAAATTACAATTAATTTAATAAATTGGTTATAATGATAAAGTATTAATTAGCATTGAGTTTTTATCTGATGACAAATTTCCACATTATATATTTTAAAACTTAGTATTTATTATTATGGTTTTGCAGTACAAATCTATCACTCATTTTTCTTAGATTTTAATTAATTTGTATCATTATGATTGCAATCTCCATGCTGGCACTAATAAGCAATATAGAAAGAGATAATATTCCACGATGCATAGTAAAATTGATATCTGATTTTTCTGCATGTCAGACAATCTCCTTCATTTCCATTAAAATCACTTACTCTTTACTAAAAGCAGAGGAAAAAATGTGAGCTCATTGGTGATATAGAAAAATGTCAAAGTCGTGTAGATAATTCCTTTCCCTAAATACACTAGAAACTACCAACCTATTTTTTTATTAAAATTCCTCAAACTGCCCCAAAGTTACTATTTTATCAATTATAGACTCCCAAATGTGTAACATTAATGAACATTAACATACTGTATACAAGGATTAATGGAAAATGTTAAGTCCTGTAATAAATACATAATCAAATATTATTTGACTCCCAATTCCTCAGTTAGGAAAACCATTCTATTGATGTGATATTTTTATAACCAGGATGATTACTGAAAGAAAAAAATTTTAGTATAAATCTGTAATTTAAAATTAAATTATAAGATAATTTAAAGATAAACTCATATCTAAGAGCATAAATAGTCTTATTTTTTAAAAGACATTTTGTGGCTTAAAAAAAAAAAGAATAGTAACATCACTTAACAGTTAAATTTCTCATTAATGACCTTGCCATTATTTTATTAATATGAAGAGATAAATGCCCCATATTGAAAAAATTTCAAATAATTTTTCTTTAAAAATACATTTTATAAAGGGGTGCCTGGATGGCTCAGTCGGTTAAGAGACCAACTCTTGATTTCAGCTTAGGGGCTCAGGTCATGATCTCAGGGTCATGGGATCCAGCCCTGCAACTGGCTCTGCACTCAGCTCTCAGAGTCTGCTTGAGATTCTCTCTCTCGCACTGCCCTTCCCCTTGCTCACACTCTCTATCTCTAAATAAATAAATAGATAAATAAATAAAATCTTTTTTAAAAAGATTTTTATAAAGGTTAAAATTAACCATTCTTGTGCGGTAATTTGGATTCTGGAGGATAAATTTATCTAAGTCATTTACATAGGTCTTCTATCTGCACTGTAAAATATGGTAGCTTCTAGCTATGTGTGGCTATTTAAATTTTAAATTAGTTGAAATTTTAAAAAAGTAAAAATATCAATGTACATGGTAGGATTATCCCCTTGTCAAGAGTTCAATAGTCACATGTGGCCAGTACCTACCATATTGCAGAACTGAGTTTTATTGGATAGTGCTGTCCTAGATTATGACAGACTAATAAATATATGGATAATGTTCTGATGATAGTAACATCATGGGAAGATGAATTTACTTCCAAACATATAATATGAAAATTTAAACACAATTATAATATGCAATATCCAGAGTAGGAAAGAAACAGTGGAGGGGATTAATGGGAATGAAGCTTGTATACCTTTCCCCAATTCCATAAAAAATTGAGTAGAATCCAAGACTCAAATGAAGCTAAAAATTAAGCCAAGAGAAACAAAAAAAAGGTAATATTGTTGAATAATTTTAGTTCTAAATAAAAAGGAAGCTGCATAGAAATGGATAAAAAAGCTAAAGATAAATTCTGATGAATTTTTAGGTAATAAATTAGGAAGAGAAGAAAACCAAAATGAGTATTTCTTTCAAGCTCCATAAACTACCAAACAAGTGAAAATTACTCTTCACTTGTTCCAAAAGAAGTTAAATAAAAATAGATTATTTCAGCGA